CCTGAGCCCTGGCACTCCCGACAGGATCCCAAGTGGTGCTGATGATGCTGGCCTGGGCGCCGCCGGCGAGGCAGCAGTGTGAACTAGGTGAGGCCTCGTGGACACAAAGGGCGTGAGCACCTGGACGCTCCTTGTGGTTGGTCTGCCCTGCGCACCAGCCTTGCTCACCTCCGCATGGTTGACATTTGGGGCAGGATGAGTCTGTGTGGGGCAGTCCTGCTCCCTGCGGGGTGTGGAGCAGCCTCCCTGGCCTCTGCCCACTAGACGCCAGTAGCATGTCTGCAGATGTTACCAAATGTCCCTGGGGCAAAATCGCCCCAGGGAGAACTCCTCTGCGTTGACCGACAGTCTGGAGGGATGTAACGTCTTTGGCTCCCATTTTCTCTCCCTGTGTGTCTTGGATATGCTGCACCACAGCTGTCTTAGTCTGCACGGGCTCCCGTCACAAAACACCACAGTCGGGGTGGCTGAAACAGCAGACGTTTATTCTCACAGTGCAGGAGGCTGGAAGGCAGAGATCAAGGTGCTGGCTAGTTGGGTTCCTCGTGAGGACTTTTCTTGGTTGCAGACAGCCACCTTCTCATTGTGCTCTCACTCCGTGTGGGGAGTGGAGGAGATCTCTTTCTCTTCCTTTTTTTTTTTTTTTTTTTAGTGAGGAAGCTTGGCCCTGAGCTAACATCTGTGCCAGTCTCCCTCTGCTTTGTATGTGGGACACCACCACAGCATGCAGCATGGCTTGATGAGTGGTGTGTAGGTGCGCGCCCAGGATCCAACCCGCGAACCCCAGGCTGCCGAACTGGGCTGGCCCTCTTTCTCTTTTAAGGCCACGAATTCCATCTGATGGCCCCACGCTCATGACCTCATCCAGCCCGATGCACCTCCCAAAGGCCCATCTCCAAATGCCATCACTTGGGGGCTAGGGCTTCGGCATAGGAATCTGGGGACCAAAAACATCCAGTCCATGACAGTAACTTTCTCATGTAAAGTGGTATTGTCAAAGTCTGACGAAAACACGGTTTCTCTTCAATGTAAACTAGTCTTTCTATGGAAAGATGTTTCATTGTCATAGTCCAGTGATTTTACCGTGACACCTCAGCGTTGGTGCTTCTGGCTTGATGTGTGCCTTTTCAATATGCAGTTTCAAGTCTTTTTTTTCCTTTAGTTTTATCTGCTACTTCCTCTCAAACGCTTTATCTCTCTCTTCCTTTACAAAACCTTTGTTTTTGTTTAATTGGCATATAATTTACACAATAAAATGCACACATTGTAAGTGTGCAGTGGGGTGAGTCTTGACAAATGTGCAGACCCCTGCGGTCCACACCCGAGACATGGAATCCCCCATCATCGGGGAACATGCCATCAGGTACCCTCGCGGTCGTTCCTCTCTGTTTCCCTGACACCTCCTCTCCCAGGAGGCAGCCACCGTGCAGACTTAGTTCCAGCGAAGATTGACTTGGCCTTTTCTAGAACTCCACGAGTGAAATCGTACTGCACCTGCTATTTTGTTGCTGGCCTTTTTCCCTCTACGTCGTGTCTGTGAGGTTTAGCCGCGGGTTGTGTCTTATTGGTGACTCGGTGCTTTTGATTGCTGAGGAGTATGAGCGTACGCAATTCATCTCTGTGCTTCTGTCGGCGGGCTTTGGGGTTGTTCCTGGTTCTGGGCTGCTGTGCGCATTCTTGTGTAAGTCTTCTTTTGGACGTGTGTTTCGTTTCTCTGGGTAAATGCTGCATCGTGGACGTCCTGATTCATGGGGCGGGGTGTAGGTGTGACTTTGTCAGAAACTGCCGGCTGTGTTCCGAGGTAGTTGTGCCATTGTCTGCTCTCACCGACACTGGGTGTTCTCAGTCAGCTTGACTCAGCCTGTCTAGTGAGTCTGAGGTGGTGTCTCATTGTGGCTCTGACTTGCGTTTTCCAAATAACCAGTGGTACCGAGCACTTTGTCTTGTGCTTATCCGCCATTTGAATAGCTTCCTCTGTAAAGTGTCTGTCCAAGTCTTGCCCTTTTTAAAAGCTGGGTTGTCTTTTTTATTATTGAAGTATAGGGCTGCTTTATGTAGTCTGGATACAAGTCTTTTGCCAGATGTATTGTTGTGAATATTTTCTCCCAGTCTGTGGCTTGCCTGTGCATTTTTCTTAACAGTATTTTGAATAGAAAGAGTGGCTAAATTTTGATGCAGGGTGTATTAGTCAACCTTTTCTTTACGAGTAGTGCTTCACGTGTCCTAAGAAGTCTTCGCCTGCTTTGAGCTCGGCAGAGGCATCCTCCTCTCTTCTCTTTTAGAAGCACCGTGGTTTTGTTTTCATGCTTCCTTCACTGATCCATCTTGAATTACCTTTGTAACGTAATGTAACATAATATAACGGCGTATGGTTGGGCTGAGTTATTTTTTGTATGGATATTCCGTTTTCCCTGCACTGTTTATGGAAGAGACTTCCCTTGTCCCATAGAATTGATTTAACACTTTCATTGAAGTCCAGTTGACTTTGTAACTGTGGATCTATTTCTGAACTTGATTCTATTTTATTTATGCATCTATTTATATTGTCAGTAACACAATGTCTTGAATACTATAAAGTAAGTCTTGAAATCAGTGAGTCCTCCAACTTGGTTCTTCTTTTGCAGGGTTGATTTAATTATTCTAAGTCCTTTAGCATTTCCATATACATATCAGAGTCATCCTGTCAGTTTCTACAAAAACTCTGTTGGGATTTTGATAGGTTTGTGCTAAATCTATGTTGAATTGGGAAAATGGACATCATAACAATACTGAGTCTTCTAATTTCTGACCATGGTGAATTTCTTCCTTTATTTAGGTCTTTAATTTCTCTCAGCAATGCTTTGTACTTTTCAGTGAGAGATTTTGTACATTTTTAGTTAAATTTGTTGCTAAACTTAAAAAATTCTATCGTAAATAACAATTTTATAAATTGTATTTTCCGTTTGTTGCTAGTATATAGGAATAAAATTAATTTTTGTGTATTGACCTTGTGATGTTGTTAAATTTACTTTTTAGCTCTAGGAGACTTTTTGCAGGTTCCTGGGATTTTGTGTATATACAGCCATGTTATTTCCCAAACAAGACGACATTTTCCTTTCCAGTATTCATGCCTTTTGTTTCTGTTTCTGTCTCCTGGCCCCAGCCAAGGCCATTGTCCAGTACTGACTAGAAGCAGCGAGTGAGCAACCCACGTGTTCCTGCTCTTCAGGAAGGGTGTCCTCAGGAAGGATACCAGGAATTGGCTTTAGAGTCTTCTGTAGGTCCCTTGCTCAGCTGAGTACATTCCCTTCTACTCCTGGTTTGCTGAGAGTATGAATATTTTGCATGTACTGTCTCTACATCTAATTGAGATGATCTTTTCCCCTTTATTCTGTCAATGTGGTGAATTATACTGACTGGTTTTCAGATGTTGCCTAAGCTTGGATTCCTGGGATGAGCTTCTCTCAGTTACCGTCTATTATTCTTTTTATATGTCGCTGGATTGAGTTTTATGTCTGTGGGTTTGTGGAGGATATTGTTCTGTGATTTTCCTTGTCTTGTCACATCCTTGTCTGACTTTGACCTCGTTGAATAGCTGGGTAGTGTTTCCTCCGCTGCTCTTTCCTGAAAGAGAGAGTATGTCTAAGAACGGTGTTGAATCTTCTCCAGTGGAAGGAACCAGAGCTCCTTGAGGAGGTGCTGGTTCTAGGACCAGGGCAGGGAATAGAACAAGACGAGCCTGGAAGCTCCTTCTATGGCTCAGTTATTCCAACTGCCCGGCCAGCTGCGTCCTCCCTTCCCAGGACCTCACGTCCAGGGGCTGTGTGGCCATCCCGTTGGGGTCTGTGCCCCGGACAGGCAGTGGGTGAGTGTGGTGCCTGAGTTCCTGCTGACACCCAGGTGGCCGTGGGGACGCTGTCCTGTGAGGGCAGAAGGGCCTTTATGCCTGGTCTTCACGGGTTGGGGAGCCCTGCTGGTGGTGCCCAGGTGTGCCTGGCAGAGGTTAGCCTTTCCCTGTCACGTGTTGATGTGTCCTCTCTGTGGTCGGAGTTGCCACTGCAGAGTTGGGTTGAGCCTGGGCAGAGGATAAGGTCAGCGGGGCCCTTTGTGTGATGTGGCCTTGAGGGTGGAGAGCAGGGCTAAGGCTGGGGCCTGGGGGAAGCGTGGCGGGGATGCGGGCACAGGGGCCTGGCAGACCCGTGGCCGTGCTCCTGAACCCGTGCTGACAATGAGCTGTCACTGTGGTCAGAACTGAGACACTGAGGCTGAGCAGGACGTCACACGAGACGTTTGATTTTTCAGTACTTTCTGGTCTCCTGTGTGTGGACCAGCTGTGAAGAAGGCCTTGGCCACACAGCTTCTTGTGCCCCCATGGGAGGATGCTCTGGACGTTTTGGTCGGGGTCTGCCATCCTAAGCAGCTAGGGGAGCAGCCTCTGTCCAGTGCCAGCTCAGCATCTGCTCTGGACGCCCCGGAAGCTGGCTGGCCTTGTCCTTCCAGGGCTTTCCGAATGGAGGCATGCCTCAGGCCCGTGTCCACTGTGCAGGTGCCCTGCCAGCCTGTTTGTCCGCTGCCCAGCCAGGGGCACCCCGCCGGCTGGTTCTTGTCTTGGCCGGGCTGGGGGTTAGCTGAGGGGTGCGTGTCACCCCAGGAGACGGGGCAGAGCTGCTGCCTGCACAGAGGAGCTTCCCTGGCCGTGTCAGAGGGCTCTGCAGTGCCCCCCAGGGCCTTGCTGATGTGCCCTTCCTGCAGGCTGGCCCGTGCCCACGGCAGTGGCCTCACCCCACACGGCGCCCGCACGGCGCCACTTTGAAAAGGCGGTTCAGACACTCCCTCACTTCGCCAGACTTGGCCGGCCTTTGCCTGTCAAAGGAGCAGCTGTTTGTTTCTGCCCTGCCGGCCGGCTGGCCAGGGCCCTTCCTTCTCCCCCCGCCTGTCCTCATTGGCTGCTGTTGGCTGGCCCCAGTCAGGGCTGTCCAGGGAGCAAGCAAGGGAGGGCCGTCCGGAGCCCTGGCTCCCACTTTCCCTCCCACCCCTGTGCTGCCCCATCATGCTTGGAGACCACAGCAGTCTGCCCGCAGACCGAGCTCTGCTCAGCCAGCCCCCCAAAACTGGACTCCGCTGCAAAATGGTGCTTCAGGCAGTTGGCAGAGTGCTCAGGTGACCGTGGTGGGGGCGCGGTGGAGGTTGTCTCGCTGTCCCTAGCCCACCCCAGGGTCAGGCTGAGGGAGTGTAGTTGTCTACGTTGGCCGCCCTCCCAGGTAAAGTCGCTGTGGTGGGGTGTGCAGCCGCCTCTGGTGGGCCCGGAGTGGAGATGGGCCCAGGGCAGGGGCAGCTCCGCCTGTGAGCCACAGGCCCTGGAGCCAGCTTTGGTCAGGTACTTTGTTTGGAGGGAGTTTTCCCTGAAGGCCTGCACTTCCTGCCCTGGTGCTCCGGGGAGGGAGCTCGCCCCTTGAGGGGGTGTGGCCCGGGAGAACACAGCCCACCCGTGACCGTCTCTCTTTCTGGCTAACGTGTCTTGTGAGCACAGCAGTCCTGCCTCGTGCCCTCCTGAGCCCCCTGGACAGGCCCTTCACCTCCGGCAGGGTGTGTGGCCTCTTGTCCCAGGTGGGATGACTGGAGCCTGTCCTGGAGTTGCTGTGGGCCCCGGCCATCTAGCTGCCTGCTATTGGGGGTGCTTCCAGAGGAGCCAGTTCTGATGATGTCCCAGCTCTTCTTCCTGACCTGCTACAGCAGAGCCTCCAGTGTCCCGCACGGGCTCAGAGACTCATTCCAGCGCCTTTTCTGCCTCAGAGCAGAAGCGTCTGCTTCAGACGTGCGGGAGAGCGTGTGCGTGTGCGTGGGGTGCTGGGGGCAGGGCACGCTCACAGCTACGGAGGCAGGCTCCCTGGCCCCACAGAGAGGGACTTCCTGGGGGCCGCAGCTCAGCCCAGCAGTGAGGGGAGGGCAGCCGGCAGGAGTGAGGAGCACTACCTCCATCCCCCAGAAGGTGTCACGGCCTAGACTCAGTCAGGCTTCCTTCAGTGTGATAATCTGTGTTTGTCTGTCGCTTCAATGGGTCGTGCTTTTTAAAGTGAAAGTGAGTATCTCCTGCTTTTCCAGTCCTATCTTTAATTATAACCGCACTAACGGCTCTTGGTGAGGGTCTGAGGTGAGGGCCAGGCCTGACCGGTGGTGGTCTTCCTGGAGTGACCGCTGGGTTCTAGAACCTCCATCTGTCTCTGGGCATCTCTGGTTTCCACCTTCCTCTTCCGTAGGGTCCTCCCCCACAGCAGGTCTCCTGCGAGCCCCACGGGAAGGACTCAGACGAGTTCCTGTGGAAACCAGGGCTCCGCCCCAGGGCCTGCCAGAGCCGTCCTGTGATGTGACGTGATGTGACGGGGAGGCTTGTTGGCGGAACTCTCCTCCAGGTGTTGGTTCAAATCAGGCACAGTGACCATCGTCGACAGTGTGTGGGGCCGTGTGTGTGCATGTGAGTGTGTGTGTGTGTGCCCCTGCACACGCGTGCGTGGAGAGTGAGGGCTGAACCCTGAAACAGGCTCCACAGAGACAGGAGGCAGGATGGCCCCTCTGATCTGGCGTGTGATTGCAGAAGCCCAGCAAACCCCGTGGGAGAGGTGTGGCCGAGGCTGTCCTTCCTGGCGAAGGTGACCGTTCAGCCAGGTGTCGAGGAAGAGCAGCTTGTTTCACAGGGGGAGGAGTGGGGTGAAACGTGCTCTGGGCAGTGCCCTGTCAGGCTGAGGCCCTGGGTCAGCAGCACCTGAAGGTGTGCCTGGACGTTGGGTCCCGGGCGTCTGCCTACCTGTCTCGTTTCTTGGTCGGCCTTGGCTCTTTCCCTCTCAGTGGGTCTCTTATTTTGCGGGGGATGCAAAGGCTTGTGAAAGTGTGCTTTGTTTGGGGGTGCTGACCGCCAGGTAGTTAGACGCAGAAGAGAAATGACCTGCATGTCCCTCTCTGCAGTGCCTGGCCGGCCGCAGCCTGTGGGGATTGGACCGGGATTCCGCAGGGGTCCTGTTGGGGGTCTTCCAGCCCTCAATTCCCAGGCTCTGAGACAGGAAGGGGTGTGGTAGTGCTGGGGTCAGTTAGGACGGGTGAGCACGAGGTCCAGGCGGGATGTCTCCAAGTGTCAGAAGTGCAGTTTTCAGGCCATGCCGGCCCACTGCATCAGGGACCGGGGGCTGATGCCCTGTGTGTTCACAGCCCTGTGGCGGGATGTTCACGGACGTTGAGAGCTGCTGGTACCGGTCCCCTGCACGTCTGGCCCTGGCCGTGGGGGGAACAGGTCTGACCCTGTAGCCGCCCAGTGCAGGGCCTGCACAGCCCTGTAGCATCGCCCTGCCGAGCCTGTGCCCTCATCGCCTTCCCTGGGAAGGAGGCCGGTAGAGGCTGGATCTTGGGCTGTCCTGTGCAGACGCTGCCCAGCTAGCTGTGTGTGGGCCTGGGCGCAGGAGCTGACTCCCGAGCACCTCCCCACTGGGTAGCCCAGCGTGAGGAGGGTCCTCCAGGTGCCCTCTCCATGGGCCCCTCCTGTCTCGGACCCCGACAGCACCCACCTAGCGTTCCGAGGAGCACATCTGTGGAGCCTCCCTGAACCTGGCGTCTTGGATCCACTGTTTGCTCATCCGCAGGTTCCCCAAAACCCTGTTCCCCCAGCCCCAGACCTTCGACCTCCTCTGTCCCGCAAGGCTGCTTCCAGACAGAGCAACCTCCGGTCCCTGCCCACCCTCTTGCAGGGTCCATGTTCCCCATGACTTCCCATGGGGGCCACCTCCCAAGTCTGCCCTGCGTCCCTCTCCTGGTGAGGACCTTAGCTGTCCGATGCCCGGGCAGGCATCCAGTGAGCATGGGGCTCGGGGGAGGGCACACGGTGGGGCTCAGCATTGGACGAGTGTGGGACCACCAGCTACTCACCCAGTAGGATGGGTGCCTTGCAGAATCATCGTTTTCAAAACCTGAAGTTAACTGGTTGTTCCTCGAAGGGTGGGACTGTGCCAGCCAGGGCCTCATTGTGGTGGCCCAGGGGTCACCTCCTGTGGGGGGCTAGCCGCATTACTTGTGATGGCGACAGGGAACCGACTGCTTGTCACATCAGTGTTTGGCACTCAGGGTGTTCCCTCAGCTCCGGCCCACCACCAAGCGCTCTCAGTCACGTGCATACGGGCAGGAGATCCCTGTGGTGTGTCCATGTTCCTGGGGCAGGGCTCCTATTGCAGCTGACGGAAGCACAGTAGCCCCCACGGTGCCTCCGGGGCCTGTTCCTCAGGCCACACTCCTGCGTGCTCAGATCCCCTCGCTCGGCCCGGGGTGGTCACGTGTCTGGGTCACACCCAGCAACCACAGAGGCCTTCCTGGTGGGACTGGGGGGTGTGACATTGGACAGGGTCTCATAGACAAGAAGTGTGCCAGGCTAAGCATGTCGGCAGAGGGTCCACACATGGGGCGTGGGGTCCCCACGGCAGTAAAGGCATCAGGAGCCTGGGGGGTGAGGGGTGAGGGGTGAGGCTGGGTGGGCGGGCGCCCAGTGGGGAGACAGTAGGAAGGTGTTTCCACTGGAGCCCGGGCCCCTCCCAAATGGATGGAATCTGTCAGGCGGGGCCCAGCCTCAGAGCCTGCTTGTTAGATGGGGAGCAGCGCGTGGGGCTCTGTTTGGGGTTCTCTGCACGTGCGCTCAGCCGGGCTCTTCCTCCCAGAAGGTCACACCCAGCCTGGTGGTGGGCCGAGGCCTGGCCTCCACCCTCTGGTCCCTTCAGGGCAGCTCCATCTGGCCTGTGGCCAAGACCTCGCACAGTCGTCCCTCCACGCCAGGGACTCAGCCTTTCACTGGAGTGAGCAGTGTGGAGAGAGCTGGAGAGGAGCTTGGCCGCAGCCCCTGGGCGCACCCCTGGGCCTGGGCTGGATGGAGCCTATTTCAGAGCCAGAGCCCGTGTGGTTGGGGGCAGAGTCCTGTCCTCTCCACTGGGGTATCTGTGGGGACAGAGGGCAGGCAGCACCGCGGTGTCACGCAGCAGCCTGTTCCACTTCGAAGGCCCTGTGTATTCTCTGAAATCTTGGGTCAGCTGCTGCTGGCGGCAAAGGAACGGGGCTGGATGAGGGCCGCTTCTGCCACTGGAAGGGGCCACGTGGCTTGGCTGAGAGCCTTCCCTGCCATGGAAGGGACAGAACTTGGGGTCAGAGAGAGGTGTGGCTGGGCTTGTGGGGCCCTCCTGCACAGGCCCTTCCTAGCACAGAGGCCCTGCACGTCCCCAGACAATCCCCAGGCAGGCTTGTCTCTTGGTCCTGCCACCTTCCAGTCAGTGCCCATTGTCTGCTTCTGCTCCATGAGACTGAGTGAAAGAAGACTCGGTGACCAGGATCCAGAGAGGTCTGGGCCGACTGGCCTAGCAGATGGGCCATCCCCAATTGGGCTGAGGTCCAGGGGCTCCAGGCCAGCTCTGGGTGACGGGGAGTGAAACTCAGGGGAACCAGCTGCGGAAGCTGAGCTTGGGGTCCTGGTGTGTGCCTGCTTGTTTGTTGTCAGAGGTGAGGAGGTCAGGAGGGTGAGGAGGCTGAGGCCTTCTGACCACACAGGCCACTGCCCAGGTCCTGGCGCCTGCCCGGAGCCTCCGAGCCTGTCTTGTGGAGCATAAACCCGGGTCCTCCTGGGGCTGCCTCCCCTGGCCCCTCAGAACCAGAGGCCCAAGGGCTCACAGTCTGCCCTGGAAATAGACGCTCTGGCACGACGACACACACTCGTGATGAGGCAGTGTCCAGGAGCAGGCCTGCGCACACTGCCCAGAGACGCTCTGCAGTGACGGCCAGTTCCACGGGCACTCTGCCCGCCTAGCCGCTGCTTGCGAGCTGATGCTTAGGCGTGTTACGTGAGTCACCAGGTAACATGGCTCCTAAATGGCAGAGTGGTGGGTGGGGAGATGGGGTGGCCAGCTTCACGGCCCGGGCCCCCACCTCTCCCTATCCCTACACGTGTGATCATAGGCCCCTCCAGACCTGGAGGCCAAGGCTCAGTGTGTGTGGCCAGCGGGAGTGGCCACGGCACAGGCCAGGTGTGCACTGAGAGCACGGGTGAGGGGGTCAGGGTCTGACTGGACCGGGCTCATGGTCGAGAATCTGCCCAGTAGTTGGATACTCGGGGCTGACTGGAGCAGAGGCTGGCGCAAGGTTCGAGGTGCGTGCATCCTGCAAGCTGGTCCCTCATGCCTGGGGCTGTGAGCACGGGGAGCCTTCCAGCCTTCCACTCTTCCACTGCACGTGACTCAGGGTCAGGAGAAGGGCGGGAGCAGGGAGCGAAATGGCCCGCCCACCCGTTTCCCAGTGGAGTGTCCGAGGGTGTCAGCAGAGCCCCTGGGTGTTCCCACCCTCTGGGGCCTGGTCTCCCTGCGCACTCTGGGAAAGGCTGGGAGTCTTGCTGTCGCCGACCAAGGGCTGAAGGCTGAGGGCCCGAGAACCTCATGTCCATACTTGTCCCCACTGGACAGCCCCACCCCGCCCCACCGCAGGGACTCCTGAAGTGCCCACTGTGTGTGTTCGTGGGTGTGGTGTCCACACTGCACTCCAGCCTCGGCCCACTTACGCAGGGCTGGGAGCCCTGGGTCAGGGTCCGCCCCACCCTGTCCCCAGGACACCCGGCCCTGCCTGGCACTGGCCTCTCCCAGCGCTGCACCCGGAGGCCGAGCATATGTCGCCTTTTAAGGCGAAGATCTGCTGTGAGAAGCCAGAGGGAAAACATTTCCCTGGCATTCGGGGAGCATTTTTCCTTCCTGTTTTTTTTTAAATAAACCACTAGCAGCTCTTCAAAACAGGAGAAAGGAAAGGACGAGGTCAAGGAGCTGCAGAGACCTTTCACCCCGACGCGACAGCCTCCCCTCCCGGCCGACTGTGGGCCTTGCCAGGCCTGCAGGGCAGAGGGGTGCACAGGGAGCCAGGCCGCCGTGTGCCACCATGGGGGCCATGCCCCACGTGAGGCCCATAGTGCATTTTCACCTGGGCAGTCGGGGCTGCGGCAGAAGCCAGGAGTGGTCAGGTTTGCTTCTCCTCTTGCAGGCGTGGAAGACCAAGGGTGACCCGGTGGGGCCCGGCCACGCACACTGGCCCCTGAGCCTGGGCCCCTACCCCGTCTGCCCACCAACCGTGGCCCTCCCTGGTTTGCAGGAGGCTGGGCTGAGGAGAGCTGCCCTCGGCACAGTGGGCCCACGGCTGTGCCAACATTGGTGCCCACTGCTCTGCCCAGCGGGGGTGTGCCCCCTGCTGACCCCTCATCACTGCAGAGCAGGGCAGGGAAGCTCCAGAAGAGGGGGCTTCTTCCAGAACACACACAACCCCTGCGCTGAGTGCCTCTCGGGCCACGTCTGCCTGATTCTCCCTCGGGGCAGGTGCAAGGCTCTGCCCTCAGGCCTGTGGCTGCTCCTCGGGGTAGGGGGACCTCACTGGGCATTCTGTGCCTGCTCTTGGTTGCCGGCCGCCCAGTGAAAGGGGCTGCATCCTGCATTACACCCCCGTGAGGGTTTATAATCAAAAGTGGCCTTTTCTGGTCAGTAAGACTTCATGACAGTATTGATTTGAAGCTGGTTTTCTAAAAGTCATGATGTCTGCCATTAAAGAATTCAATTGTTCCAGTAAGAACCAAGACACTAATCCATGCTATTAGGAATTTTTTTCCTTCAGTTTCTCAGACTTTCCCCCAGGAACCCAATTCTAAACTTGAAAATGTGGGGAAACTCCTGCACGTATGGGGAGATTGCAGCCTTGCTCAGTGCTGGCTCCCAGACGGTGAGAGCCCGGCGCGAGGCCCTCCACACCACGAGGTTGAGTGGTCGCTGCTAGGAAGGGTGTCTGAGATGTGCAGCCCTCTGCGGGGCCTCCTTGCTCTGGGGCACGTTTGGCCGGTGTGGGCTCCCGTGTAGACAGACACGGAGACTGGTGTCAAGCCTGGCCTGGGCCAGCGTTCCCAGCCACGGGTTCTGGGCCACTCTGTTGGGCACTTTGCTTCTTAGGGGACACGCTGTCTCATTGGCCTGCCTGGGCCGCATGTACCACGGCCCTGGCTCCAGCCTCCGGGCAGCCGGAGGGAGGCTGGTTCTGGGGCCGCAGCTTCCCCTACTGAGGAGGGGGTGAGGCCCCCTCAGTGCCAAAGAGCCTTGGATCACGGGTTTAGCTACTGCTGTCCACTGTATTCAAGTGAAAACAGACATTTCAAAAATATGTATTCATTGGTGTAAAAACATGTATCCGTTTTGTGTTATATAACAGCATATTTTTATGGAAAAGAATTATTTTCTAAACAAGAAAAAGTTTTAGTGAGAAGTGGCCATTTCCGCAACTTTCTGTAACATCTGGCTCACGCCTGCCTCTGCCCCGCCTAGAAGCCTGCACTGTGCACTTGACAGGATCGGGGGGCAGGACAAGCAGGACAGGTGTCGTGCAGGGTGAACCTGGAACCCGGTGATGGCGGGAGGCCTGGGGTGGGGCGAACCTCGGGGGGGTCGGGCACACAACAGGTGCTGAGGAATGGCGGGCGTTGGGTCATCTGCGCAGAAGGATGCACACCCGCATGGTGGGACTGTGCTCAGAGGCTCAGGGCCTGGGTGAGTCACACTGTCTCTGTGCCCCGCCTGGTGGTCCTGCCTTGGGACCCCAGGCCCAAGGTGTGGGCCAAGATGGCTGCAGGGTCACACGTTGGGGGCGAGCTGACTAGTGGGGCCCCCAACCCACCCCTTCAGTGGGCCCAGAGCCACCTGCCTGCCCTGGGTTCCAGGTTCGGCCCCATGACGTCAGGCCTCCAGGTGGTGTCCCTGCAGCCCATTCTCCCCTCATGGAGGCAGGGTGGCTGGCTGGTCAGGTGTAGGTTCTTGACGACGGCAGAGGAGGGCATGGGTGCAGGGCAGCTGCCTCCCACTTCTGGCCTGGTGGGAACAGACTCTCCCAGGACGTCTCTGGGAGACCCCCTTGGTGTCCCACTGGCAGTGACAGCCCCTTGTGTCCTGGAGCCTGGCCTGTGGTCTCCATGCCTGCATGTGCTATGTGGTGACCCCATGCCCCCTTCTCACTGGCAGGAAGTCAAAAGCGAAGCCTAACGGGAAGAAGCCTGCCACGGAGGAGAAGAAGATGTACCTGGAACCAGAGTACACCAAGTCCAGGATCACGGACTTTGAGTTCAAGGAGCTGGTGGTGCTGCCGCGGGAGATCGACCTCAACGAGTGGCTGGCCAGCAACAGTGCGTGGGGGAGGGCCAGCCGTGTGCGGCAGTGGGGCTGGGGGTGGGGTCAGCCTGTGTGGCAGATGGCAGTGGGGCTGGGGCAGGGGTCAGCTGTGCGTGGCAGACAGTGGGGCTAGGGGCAGTGGGGGGGCAGGGCGGGGGCGCCACAGCCACTGCAGCTGGCAGGGAAGCAGCGAAGGTGGCCGCCTCTGCTTCCTCGAGGACTCCCCAGCGCTGGTGCTCAGCTCCCCGCCCGCTGTCTGTGGAGAGTGTGTGGCCTGAGTGGCCCGTGGCCGGGTAGCGGCTCCCCCAGTTGCCTCGCCTGCACGTGTTGGCTGGGAGCTGAGGCGCAGGATGGCCAGCCCTGCAGTGCACTTGGGGCATCCCGCAGACACAGAGGACTCGGTCCGGGTCCTGGAGGCACCAGGGCGTGGGACACCAGTGCCAGGGAGAGACTGTGGGACGGGAGGGTGGCTGCGAGGCTGCCAGTGCTGGGTTGTGGGAAGGCTGTGGCCCATGGAGGGGACGGCGGATTTCACCCCACCCACTGGGCAGGCCTGGGGCTCAGGGCTCGTAGAATGCCACGCAGGAGGTCGTGGAACCCACAGGGAGCTGTTCTCCTCTGAAGGGGGTCGGCCTCGTGGGTGTTGAGCTGGAGTTGCCGTCTGCGTTAGTTGATGCCGAGGTGGGTGTCCCTGATGCAGCTGGTGTTTGTAAGAGCAGGGGTGTGAGTCCTAGGGCCCTGACCCCTCGCGGGGGTGGGATGTTGGTCTGCCGCACCCCTCACAGAAGGGACTCCGTCTAGATGGCTGCCAGCTCCCTGCCCAGCTTGGCGCTGTCCAGGCCCGTGTCCCCCACCCCCTGCATGGCGGCAGCTGGCAGCCAGCCCCCAGGGCCAGTGCTCCGTCCTGGGGCTTTGTCTCTTGTCTCTGATAAGCACTGACCACCCCAGGGTCCGAGGAAAGAAGCACTGTTGCTCCCGGACCTATGGGGCAGTGGAGACAGGAGCGATTCCACGGTGGTGGTTTTCACACCAGGCCCTTCTCTTCCAGCCACAACGTTCTTCCACCACGTCAACCTGCAGTATAGCACCATCTCAGAATTCTGCACAGGAGAAGCGTGCCAGACCATGGCCGTTTGCAACACGTGAGTTGCTGCCTGGATATGGGCCGGCCCCTGGGGGATGCAGTGGGCTGTGGGGCCCAGACCCTGTCTTCTCAGACCCTACTCTCGCTGTGTCCCATGCAAGGTCTCCTGATAGTGTGGAGCCTTCCTCAGCAGTGTCCTCCTGCTCCCACGGGGCCCAGGCCCTGGTGGGGAAACAGGACACAGCCCAGCAGAGAAGGGACACCTGTGGTGGGGTCCCACTGGGACTCGGGGCACCAGGAGCCAGCTAGAGGCTGACAGGCTGTGTTCCTAGAGGCAGGGACATTTCCTAAGACAATAGCACCGTGAAGCTGGAAGTGCTTCTCTGCTTCAGTTAGCTGTCCAGTCAACTGACGGCTCTTCCTCAGGGCTCCTGCTTTGTGAGACAGAGAGGGAGGGGCCGGTGAGGGACTGGGTGGAGGAGGCCTTCCCTTGGCTGGTTTTGTGGGGCTGGGATGCCTTCTTGGTGACTTCCCAACACACCGGGTGCTAGTCACTCTCCTCTGGAAGCTTGTGCACATTCGTTTCCTCAGTAGGCAGACATCCCTGAGGGGCTCCGAGGCACCCCGCCAGCACTGCAGCAGCTCTTGCATGCTGTGGGTAGGAGAGCCGCCATGTGGCGTAGGCTTGCCACCAGCCCCGAGTAGCAGAAGTGACAAAAGATGGCCTCAGGCAAGAGGCTGGTTCTGCAGGGGCTCAGCCTGGGGTGTGTGGCTGAGGAGGAGGCACAGAAGTGCCTTTCTGGCATCTCCTTTTCACTGTCAGGGCCTGCGGGTCAGGGGCTAATAAGTATGCGTGAACCGCCAGCCTCTGCTAGTGAACACGTTTGCGTATACCGTCCTGGGTTCATCCTGCCCACAGACAGGCAGGCTCCCTGGTACAGACCCAGCTCAGACCCTGACAAGCTGAGCTCTGTTCTCGCTGAGAACCCACCAAAAGCCTCAGCACAGGCAGACGGCAGAGGGTGCCCCCCATCAGCTCTCAGCCCTGCTGGGCCCCACTCTCGTGGCCCCGATGGGTCGCAGCTCGGGGCTGGGTCATGTGGGAGCAAGTGCACACGACAACTGGCTCTCCACTCCTTATTCGCCCAGGAAGAGCCGCTGAGGGGATGCTCAGGTGCCACGTGCGTCCCCAGCTGGACACAGCCAGGCGGCCCAAGGGAGGGTGGGGTGGTGCTGGGCGGGTGGTGCAGGTAAGCTCAGGCAGGAGGATGTCACGGGACAGAGTGACCTTTGTAGAGCAGACCTGGAAGCAACTGCTGGAGGTGGGCAAGGACAGTGTCTGAGAGCCGTGTGTGTAGCGTGCTCAAGAGGACGCTTGCTGGCTACGTGCCTGGCCAGGCGGCAGCAGAGGTGGCCCATGGAGCAGGCGGGTGGGGAAGCTAGGGCTCCTTTGCTGCTGCATTCCCACGTGCCCTTCAGGATCAATGTGTTTGAGAAGAGGTTCCTTGCAAGAGCATAGGGTTTGGTGTGGGGCAGACCTGCGTCTAGATGTTGCCTCTGCCATGTTGAACTTGGAGATCTGGGGAACTTAAATCCTCTGCTGCTCCTCCTCCTCCTCCTCTCGGTCTGTAACGTACTTCATAGGGTTGCTGTAGATTTGTATGAGTGGATATGTATCTAAGGCCTTCCTAGGAGTCTTTTGAGATCAAGATGGAAACTCACACAAATTGAGTTTAAGAGAAAAAAGGAGGTTTGTCAGAGTTCCACAGAGCCACTTGCTGTCCCAGGACCAGCAAGTCCACCGGGGCCCGGAGTGTGGCAGAGGCCTGTCTCCACACTGCTGGTGCCTGTAGGACAGAAACCAGAGGGTAATGTTGCAGTCCCAAAAGGAGACGAGAAAGGGCCATGCCAAAAACACACTTGAAGAAGTAATGGCTGAAACTTACCAAGGTTGTGAAGACACAAACCTACAGATTCAAGAAGCTGAATGAACTCCAAATAGGATAAACCGGAAGAATCCACATGTGGACACGTCGTAATCAAACTGCTGGAAAGAGGAGACCTGAACAGCAGCAGGGCCAGCGGCACAGCACCTGTGGGGACAGCAGTGGGAGTGACCGTGCTCTCATTAGAAGCCTTGGGGGTAGGAGGAGCTGACAGGAAAGAACGGTCACCTCAGAGTTCTGCGTCCAGCAAAAATGCCCTTCGGGAGTGAAGTGAAATCAGACACTTCTCAGGTGAAGGAAAACTAAGAGAATTCCTAGCCAGCAGACCTGCTCCAAAACCGAGTTGCTACAGGGAGCTCTTCATCCTGAGGGCGGTGATCACGGAGGGAACGTGGAGTGTGAGCGGGGAGGAGGAGCGAGCAGGCGATAGGCTGCTCCTCTCCTCTAGTTCTCCAGATGCACTTGGTGGCTGAGCGGAGTCAGAACACTGCCTGGCGGGCTCGGCGTGTGCCAAGGGGCACAGAGGCTGGGCAGCACGGGGGTGGGCAGAGGGGCCAGATGGGGGCAGTTCCTGCATTCCAGTCAAAGGGCAACATTGGTTCAAGCGCAGAGTGAACAGTGAAGTGCGTATTTTATAATCCTTTGAGCAATCGCTAAAAAGTTGTGTAACTGATATAGTCAAAATCAGAGTTAAAAGGGAATACTAAAAAATGACCCAAAAGGAGGCAGGAAAGAGGAAATCTGAGGAGTGAAAAAGGGACAAATAGTCAGCACACAATGAACTTAAATTCAAACAGGCCAGTGACCACAGGCCACGTCACGGGTGAGAACGTGCCAGTTACAAGACAGAGGCTATAGGAGCGGGTTTGTTTTTTGTTTTTTTTTGTGAGGAAGCCCAGCCCTGAGCTAACATGCAATGCCAATCCTCCCCGTTTTTTCTCTTGAGGAAGACTGGCCCTGGACTAACATCCGTGCCCATCTTCCTCTACTTCATATGGGATGCCACCACAGCATGGCTCAACAAGTGGTGTGTCGGTGCACACCCGGGATCCGAACCTGCGAACCCCGGGCCGCCGCAGCGGAGCACACGCACTCAACCGCTGCACCACCGGGCCGGCCCCAGGAGCGGGTTTTTAATGAGCCGACCATGCAGTGTCTACAGGAGACTCACTTTAGGTGCTATGACACGGGCAGGTTAAAAGAGAGAGGATGGAAAAGAGACACAACAAAACACTAACCAGAAGAAGCTGAAGGGGCTCTGTTAATACCAGACAGAATAGACTTCAGAGCGAAGAAAACAGCTGGGATACAGAAGAGGACTGCATGTTTACAAAGGGGCCAATTCATCAGGAAGGGTTGGTCTCCAATGTGTGTGCACCAAACAGCAGAGCTTGTACACAAAGCAGACAGAACGGAAAGGAGGGCCAGACAAAGTCACATTCTAGTTGGAGATTTCAACACCCTCTCCTGGTAAGAGAACCAACAGACAGAAAGTCAGCGGGAAGATCACAGCTAATGCCGTCAGCCAGCGGGGCTGAATGGGCATTCATAGAACACTCCACCCTCAACAGTGAAATACACCTTCTCCTCAAGTGCACAGGGCATGTTCACCAAAGTGGGTTGGATCTTGGCTCACAAAACAGCCCTTGACAAACTTCAAAGAATCAGAATCATGTAAAGTAAGTTATCTGACCATAATGGGATTAAACTGGGAATCAGTAACAGAAAGATAAAAGGAAAATCTCCAAACATTTAGGAATTAACTCCTCTCTGAATATCCATGGGTCAGAGAGGAAGTCTCAAAGGAAATTAGAAAATGTTTTAAACTGAACGCAAATGAAAATGCAGCATACCTGAATTTGTGGGATGCAGCTAAAGCGATGCTGGGAGGGAAATTTATAGGATTAAATGCTTATTTTAGAAGTAGAAGAAAGGTCTCAAATCAATCTAAGCGTCCATATGAAGAAACTAGAAAGAGAAGAGCAAGATAAACCCAAATTGAGCAGAAGAAAAGAAAGAATAAGGGCAGAAATCACTGAAACTGATCTCTGAAAACAAAAGGAAAACACCAATGGAACCAAAAGCCAATTCCTTGAAAAGATCAATAAAATTGATAAACCTTGAGCAAGACTGACAAAAAAGAGAAAAGGTGCAGATTATCAATGTAAGGAGTGAAGGGGTCGCTATAAACACAGCAGATTTTAAAAGGATAATAAGGAACAATCACAAGAAACTATACATAAATTTGACAGCTTAGATTACATGGACCAATTGCTTAGAAAGCACAAAATACCAAAACTCACCCAAGATAGGTAATGCAGTAAGGCGAGAGAAAGGAGTGAAAGGCATCCAAATTGGAAAAGAAGAAATAAAACCATCCCTATTCACAGACAGCACTATCGTCTATGTAGAAAACCCCGAGGATTCTAGGAAAAATGGAATACATGAATAAACTTAGCAAGGCCAACACACACAAAAATTAATCATCCTGTATACCAGCAGTGTACACTGGAACCCAAAACTAATAAAACTGTGCCATTTACAGTAGCTCCAAAAACGACAAGATACTCAGGTGTAAACTTTAGGAAACATGCACAGGATCTGTGTGCGGGAAACTGCAAAATGCTAATGGACAAAAACAAAGGCGACCTGAGTAGATAGACATTCTGTGTTCATGGATTAGTGGTTCAATATGCGAGAACGTCCGTTCCCCCCAAACTGATCTGTTTGTTTAAGCAGTCGTGATCCCAGCGGGGCTGTGTGGATGTCAACAGGCTGGTTCCACAGTGTACGTGGAAGGACAGTCACTGCAGTGGCCACAGCGGTTCTGGAAGAAGATCAGTGAAGTTGGGAGAATCACACTGTCCCCTTCTAAGACTTCTCTAGGGCTGCAGCAGTCAAGACAGCGTGGTCCTGGTGAAGGGCAGACACCTAGACCCGTGGAGCAGAGGAGAAGTAGAGCCACACGGACGTGCCCTCCGGTTTGTGACAGACACCTAGACCCGTGGAGCAGAGGAGAAATAGAGCTATATGGACGTGCCCTCCGATTTGTGACAGATGCGAAGGAAATTTGTGGGGAAAGGATAGTCTTTTCAACTAATGCTGGAAAAACCGGTCATCTGGATGCCAAAAAACAAAAGTGAATCTTGACCTAGACCTCATACTTTATGCCAAAATTGACTCCAAGTGGATTCTAAATCTAAATGTAAAACTATAGAACTTTTAGGAGAAAACATAGGAGGAAATCTTCCTGACTTAGCATTAGGCACAAAGTTCTTGGTTGTGACACAAGGCATAGTCTCTTGACAAAAAAGTATCAAGAGATTGGACTTCATAAAAAGTTAGAACTTCTGCTCTGAGGAAGACAGTTAAGAGAAAGAAAAGACAGACTGTAGACTAGAAAGGACTAGTGCCTGGAGTGTGTCAAGAACTCTCAGCTTGTCATAAGAAAACAGTCTGGTGACAGGTGGGCAAAGGGCGTGGACAGGCAGTGACTGAGGAGGACCCGAGGAGGGCAGGTGAGCACCCGAGAGGCTCCCCACCACGAGCAGGCGGAACAATGCGAATTCAAGCTGCGCTGTTAGCATGCTGGGTGCTGGCGAGGATGGGAGCGTGGAGGGAGTGCAGGTGGGACAGCCCCTCTGAGGATGGTGTGGTGGTTTCTTAGGAAACGAAGCGTTCACCTACTGTGCACTCAGCCGTCCCACTCCTGGGTGTCCACCCTAGAGAAGAGAGAACTTGTGCTCACACAGACACCTGTCCAGGAGTGTTTATACAGCCTGACCCATAACTGCCCCAAACTGCAGACAACCCAGATGTCCTTCAGCAGGTGAACTGGGACACACTGGTGCTTCCAGGCTGATGTTCCAGAATAATGTCTCAGCCGTGAGAAGGAAGGGGCCACGGATACGTGCACCACAGGGTGCCCTTGGCGTCTCGAGGAGACATTACTAGTGTCCTGGGGACTGACTGGCGGGGCGCAGGGTGGGAGCCTGTGGCTAGGAGGGGCAGCACGAGCTGTGCCCGGTTGTGGTGGGGGTACCTGGACCTCTGTGTGGCTGGAAATGCATAGGATTGCACCCAAAACAAGTCAGCTTTACTGTGTGGTAATTTGAAAAGTAAAATGAAAACAAAAACTGGAATGTTGAAAGCAGAATGCTTGTCTTGCAAACAGATGGGGCGACCCGCAGTGTCCCTTAGGAGCTGGTCTCTCAGGCCTGCCGTTGTGGTTTTAGCCGTGGGTGTTTCTTCTGACTCTGGCACCTGTGGCCAGGTGCTTCCAGCATCAGCATGCAGGGTGAGGGAGTTGGTGGAGCAGGTGTCTGTGACTCCTGCCCGGGGCCTGGGGCCCTGTCCCACTGTGTCTCCTCACCAGGGACGTGGGCCTTGGCCTGGCCCCCAGAGGCTGGGGCTCCACTGCACTGACCTGGGGACCCCACAGGCCGTCCTGAAGGGAGGGAAGATTCACCTGTCTTCTCACGAAGTGACCTTGAGAGGGACTTTGCCTCCGCGTCCTCAGCCGGTCTGACACACCCGTGCTGCTGCCAGGTGGGGCAGGAGGATCAAGCAGAGCCCCCTGCAGTGGGGAGCGCGCGGGGGCAGGAGCTCTAGCCGAGGGGTCCGTGCTGGATGTTAGCTTCCTGGGGCGGGAGGGGAGTGTTGCAGGCTTCTCAGGGCTTTGCTGGACGAGCTCCTTTGCTCATTCCTGGGCCTGGTGGGGCACGCAGGATGTGTTGGTGCTGGCAGTGTGATGTGACGGGGGTACCGTGCTGCAGTGGCTGTGCAGCTGCAGCCTGCCCTTTGCTACGTCTGGGTTGCTCCCCAGATCGTCCACCTTCTAGTGGGCGGGGCCTGGTGTCTGAGTGGCAGTCAGGGCTGTGTCCCTTTGTCCACCAAGGGCTGGCCTCCTTCCTGGGGGCCTGCCCGTCAGTGTGGGGCTGTGCTTTCCTGATCTTGCCTAGGTTACAAATGAGCTATAGATGTGCGGGGCCGAGAAGAGCGCCTGGTTCCTGCTAGATGGAGCTGGGGGTCCTGGGGCAGAGGGGCCGGCAGCAGAGTTGTCTCGAGGCCACTCGGCTGGGCCGTGCCTTTTCTCTTGGCTGGGATCAGGCTGCCTGTGGGAAATGGGACCCCCTCGCTCTCCTGGCTCCAGCCTGGCAGGGTGGCGGGAGTGGTGAGCCCTCGTGGCTGTCCCCCTGGGGTGCTTGGTGAGCTCAGGAAACCAGGGCAGGGTGCTCAGAGCCTCAAGTCTTCGCCCTTGGGAAGTGTGGTGTTGAGGAGGGGACCTAGTCTAATCTGGGTCTGAGGCCAAGTAAAGTCAGATAAATGAGTGGGGAGTGCTGGGCAGAGGGAGGGGTCTGTGTGAAGCTCCGGAGCGGTGCGGCTGGGGTAGGGCCTGGGTCCCACGGTGGCGCTGTGACCAGCCTTCTCTGTCCCCACAGACAGTACTACTGGTACGACGAGCGGGGGAAGAAGGTCAAGTGCACGGCCCCACAGTACGTCGACTTTGTCATGAGCTCCGTGCAGAAGCTGGTGACTGATGAGGACGTGTTCCCCACGAAATATGGTAGGTCTCTCCCAGCGGTGCGCCTTTGGGCACAGGGCGGGCGTGCCTGCAGGTGAGGAGAAGCTGCCCTTTGGGAGGGGCAGCCGTGTGACCTGGGCCGTAGGGTAAAGCTGGTACCCTCCCAGCTGTCAAGTGCCCGCCCACCCCAGGCTCTGGGACCTGCAGCCTCCACCGACCCCTGCGTAATAGGGCTGTCCCAACCACCTTGCCGGGGCTTGTGGGCTGACAAGCAGCAGCTGTGGCTGTGTCCAGATGTGGGCAGGGTCCAGTGGGGGCTCTGGGCGGGCCTTGAGCTGCCAGAGGGCGGCACCTGGTTGGCAGGAGAGTCCCACGTGCCCCAGTTCCCTTCCTCTTCTGTGGCCCAGGCCACGTAGGGGGCCATAGAGTACCCGTCAGGGAACCGTGTGTGACTCCAGAGCCGAGTCCAGGCTTTGGGTGGCGTGTGGCAGGGTCGCAGGCCTGTTGCGGCAGAGGCAACCAGTACAGCTCAGCAATGACCCACCCTCCAGGCAGCCTGCAAGATGCAGCTCTCGGGCCAGGCCCAGGGTGACAAGTCACTCCAATGTCTGCCGGTGGCCTCTCAGCGAGGGCGCAGGGTAAGGGGGCGGGCAGCGGGTGGACCCCTCAGGCTGGTCCTGCAGAAAGTGCCTGGTTCCAGGAGCCTGGAGGGCCGGCCTGGCCTCCTCCTTCCTGCCTGGTGGAACAGCTGGGCGGGCGCGTCCCTCCTTGGGGATGGAACAGAGTGCAGGGTGACGCTGCGGCTCCTCTCCCTAGGCAGAGAATTCCCCAGCTCCTTCGAGTCTCTGGTGAAGAAGATCTGCAAGTACCTGTTCCACGTACTGGCACACATCTACTCATCCCACTTCAAGGAGACCCTGGCCCTCGAGCTGCACGGACACTTGAACACACTCTACGTCCACTTCATTCTTTTTGCCAGGGAGTTCAACCTGCTCGACCCCAAAGAGACCGCCGTCATGGACGACCTCACGGAGGTGCTGTGCAGCGGCGGGGGCCACGGAGGGGGCGGCGGGGACGGGACCGGCAGCGGGGGCACGGGGGCACAGAACCATGTGAAGGAGAGGTGAGCCCCCGGCTGGCAGGCGTGCACGTGTGCAGAGAGACGGTGGTACGGGTGCTGCGCGTCTGCGTGTGCGCACACATGCCGGCATGCTCGGCCAGAGGTCAGAGGGGACGCTGTCCCCGGCTGGCTGCGCAGAGTGGGGCTCCCTGGAAGCTGGCGGGCGCAGCGCGTCTGACCGGCTCCCCACGCGGTTTCCTGTTGGATGGATGAGTGCCGCTTGTCACGAAGAACTCTGGACTTCCTTCACTTGCTCAGCAAACGTTATGGGACTGGCGATCTGCATTTCCTTCTGTGGGGTCCTTCCTTTGGTCTTCCGTGCAGCCCAGCCCCACCTCCCCCGAGGGCTCTGCCATTTGAGAGAAATCCACCAGGGAGGGACGGGCTCCCCCAGGAGGCTTGGTGTGCAGACGTCTCGTTCCGCTCGGTTTGGTTTTGTTTTCGGGGGTGGGGTTATTTTTAGAGATTCCTGCCGGGCTCCCCCTCCTGTCTCCCGGCCTGGCCTGGATCTTGACTGTCGGGAGCTCCCTGAGGGTGGGGAGGGGGAGGCCGGGGGTGCCGGGAGGGACCCTGAGCCTGTGGCCGTGTCTCCCTTCTTCCTGCCCCCGCTGCCCGGGAGGGACCCTCTGGACGGCTGGGCTCAGGACCGAGGTGCCTGGGGCAGGAGGCCTGTGCGGAGACGCAGCTGTCGGCAGAAGGCAGCATCGCTCGCTCGGCTCACCTGTTCAGTCGTAATAAAAAGAATTCTCTCAGGTCAGCGCCTGTGTGTGTCCTCAGCGTCTTGGTGACCCGTGCTGAGGGCACCAAGACTGGCGTGGGACTGAGGGTGGCCTGCCCCTGCACCCCATGGCCACTGCCTGTTTCTCTCCTCCGCCTGCCCCGCAGGCAGTCCCTGCACGCCCCTGGGGCCGGGCCTGTGCCTGCAGCCTGGGAGGTGTGGAGTTCTCACCGACGGACGTCCCGGCTGTGCTGGCCGATGGCACGTGCCGCTCTTCCTGCCAGGGCCGACCACAGGCTCCCCCTGCTGACCCGTGTACACAGCCGCCTGTAGACCACAGGAAGCCTGGGGCCAGGGGACACACCTGTGTCACAAGTGCCCAGGGGGCCTTCGCCACTCCCCCCGTGCTGTGCCCTCCCCATGTAGGTAGCGAGGACCCTGGAGTGCGGGCTGGAGTTGGCTGGGGAGTTTCCTGGCCAGGTGGACACGGGCTCTGCTGCAAGGGCCCCCCTGGCCGGGGCAGCGTGGCCCGAGGGTGGCTTAGAGGAGAGCTCCGGATGGGGGTGAGTGCCTGCAGTGGGGCGGGGCAGGGCTTGGGGAATAATCAGGGAGCGAGACGTGAACTGAGCCCTGGAGCTTGTCCAGGCTCCACGCGGGCAGAGGCGGGGGCTCTGGTGAGGCCCCCGTTCCCCTGCCCTTCCTCACATCTCACCTGGTGATGGTGCGGCCTTCTCTGGTGGTTGACTCGTGTCATGCTCACCCCCTGTGCGGTGGCGGCCCTGGGCTCCATCTCCCAGCTCGCGTGGCCACCAGGTCCTCCCCCACCCGCCTTCTCTCTGGACCTCTTCTGTGACCTCCTTGTTGCTCTTGGCGTGCCGTCTCCTCCTCCAGCCCCTGAGAGTCGCTCCCTACCCAACAGCCCTGGGGCTCCCAGGAAAATCTTGGTGCACCCTGGGGTGCCTTGTCTTCACAGCCTAGCCCCTTGTCTCCCCACAAGGGCCCCATACCGTCTCCCTGACTCCTCCCTGTCCCAGAGCAGTTGTACAGAGGTCAACTGGGAGCAACTTTAAAAATCCCTGTGCTTGAACCAGCCCCAACTCCGTTGACTCAGTCCCTGGATGTAGAGGGTGTATGTCAGAATTGTTGTAATATGACTTTAACATGTGTGGTTCCAGAAGGTTCCACTCATATTACCTGCTGAACTCACTCATGCTCGGAGCCCCTGGGCTAGTGCCACCCTCCCTGTGGGAAGGCTTGCGGGCCCTGCTCTGTCCCTCCGAGCCCACTGCCCCTTGCTGGGGCTTGTGCCTCTGTCCTCACCTAGTCTGGAGCTCAGCAGAGCCAGGGCAGCCTCTCTCTTCCTGTCCCCAAGTCACTGGATGTGTCCAGCAGCAGCCAGGCTGCCCCTCTCACCAGCTGGGAGGCCTGACTCTCTCCTTCCTGTCCCCGAGTCACTGGACGTGTCCAGCAGCATCCAGGCTGCCCCTCTC